TAAAAATAAATGCCTGCATCTGTCCTCATGGTGTATTATACTGGAAATCTGAAGATTGTACAGTTGTGTTCATTTCTGTTTAATCCACCTAGCCAGCACCCTGGTGTTCATTGTTCAGTGATCATCCCAGTATATTTCAGATGTGATATTTCTCAGGGGGAGATTTTGTACTCTTAACACACAATAAAATGTAGACTTTGTCTTGCCAGAAAGAATTACAAGCATACATCTTTTGAATTTTGAAAGATTTGTAAGATTACGACTAAATGACAGTTCTTTAATCTTGAGTTATAGATGATGTTTTAAATTTTATTGTCAAAAGAGTCATGAAGCCATGAAGGACTATAGTACCTATAGTTTTTATTTTGTTTTTAAATTTTTTACTATTTTGAAGGTAATAAAATACAACAGAACAAGACAGAGCAAAGCCACTTGAGACAATGCAGTGAAATTGGTACAGAACTTCACAGCAGGTTACCGGGCTAACAGTAATAGGTACCATAGTGTATCTTGTTATCTTCACAGTAGTTCTCCATTCAATCAAGTATAGCAAAATCAAACCAAATACAGGACATTATAGAACTTGTCAAAACAGAATATTGAATAGAGCATACAATTAATAAGAACGAAGCAAAACAGTGATGACAATATTTGCCTTCAAAAAGATGGTAGAAGGAATCCCCCATGTTTGCTGCATTGCATGTGGTCAACTTCCCAAGAGGTGCTCAGACCTCTGGCTCCCGTTTGCTAAACGGGGGTGGGGGATATGTTTGATTCACAACCTGCTGGTAGGCTCACAGCTGCCTATCAGGGAGGTGAGTGGGTTGCTTGGTTTCCCAGAGCCCTAAGTTCCAACATGGCGCAGATTGTGGGAAACTCTCTCTCTGTTATAGTCTTATATTAAGGTGTTTCAGTTCATGTCCTTGTTGAGGAGAACAGTCAGTTTTCTGGAAATACTGGATAGGGAATTGTGTCCCCAACACAAGGGTGAGCTTTGGAAAGCCAAGGGGCCTTATTAAGACAGGATTCTTGGTGTCGAACTTCAACAAAACTTTAGTTCAGGGGTGGAATTAGGTGTCAGGGGATTCTATCTCTGAAATACAGCAGAGTTCATGGGGAAATAATAAAGACTTATTCACCTGACATTTATCCTGGTGTCTTGGGAACAAAGAATTGGCAGGAAAAAGTTCTCAGTGTAGAACAATATCTCATGGGGGAAGGCTTCCTTAACGCTGGGCTAGCAAGAGGGAGGTAAGTAGCCCTCATGAGAAGGTAGACGGAGGTATAAATATTTCCCTGCTATGGTTCAGGCTGGAAAACCCTGGTCTGTAAGGCACATATGTGGCTGTCCAGAGCGGAGTCCTGCCCTGCTTTGGTGACTCAGAGGAGAATTGTCTCCTGCTGTGTTCTCTGCCAGCAAAGCTCTAGTCTCCATCGCTGACAGTTCAGGAAGGGATCTGGGCTCCACACCAAGCACTTCCAACCGTACAGCCCACCCAGGGTTTTGCGTCTTTGGTTAAATGATTGATATACTTATTCACCATCCTAAGGAGGAAGGGGGTGTTGAGCTCAGCAGTGCAAGGGCCACTGATGACAGGTAAGCAGTGGTAATGGAAGCTCAACCAGAAAGGAACCGAAAGGCAGAGGTGATTTCAATATAAGTAGAACATACGTCCAAAGATCTTCTTAATTAATTAGCTAAAAAAGAGGCGTAGCGTATCACCTGTGGTGAGACACGAGGTGAGGGAAGGGCACTCTTGTTTATGGCATGGAAGGGTGTTTTTATTGCTGTGCTGATATCATGTACTCATCTTCTATGGTGATCAGCATTTCGATGGAAATTTCCCATTTGTTCTCTATTGATCACTGGAGTGTTACTTGGGCCATGCTCTCTGCATTTAGTAAAGAATTTTCACCTTCTTACTTTTGCATTTCTTTGCTTATTTAAGGTGATTTTTTTCCAAGAATTTCTAGGATGTGCTCCCCATTTTCTTCTGGGACATCTCAAACATGTTTTTAACTTTCAAACTAAGATCTCCAATTCCTATATTCCGTAAGATACTGGGAGCCAAGGGACCAACTTCATTTTTCCATATATATACAGCCATTTATGCCAGCTTTAATTTAACTGTCTGGTTTACCAAACTAAATTGAAATTCAATCTTGTTATATGTTAACTGCCTGTATGCACTGAGAGGTAATTCCTAATTTATTCAACAACAGTGACTGGGCATCTACTACCAGTCAAATTTGGAAGTATTTTATTGTATTACATTATGTCTAAATCTTGCCAATTTAATTATCAATCCCAACTTAAAAGTAATAAATTACTTCCATTATATATCTTCTTTGGGTTAATGGTTGATGTTCCATTCTGTGTTACTCAATAGACTTGTTTTGAGACCACTCAGTTTAACTTGATGCTATTTCCTCCCAAGCTCTTCATTTCATAATTTATCCTTTATTTTATTCTAAATTATGTAGACATACTCACATGGTGCTGTGGGAAAGGAAAGCTTGAACAAAGAGATTTCGTTTGATCGGATATCGTATTAAATGTCAAGACGCAGCACAGTGGGATAAACTTGGTGATGTCCTTCCCTTCAGGATCGGCCCTCCATCCAGCGTAAAAGTTAGAATCTCAAGGGCCTGTGTATGGTTTTATAGATAGAATATGGGGAGGATTTGCATGTTCGATGAAGACCACAATCAGGGCTATGCTGCGTCCACTAGATTTGGCTGAAGACCTCAGAACTGAAAATGCAGAAAACTTAGGGAAGATACCACATGAAAAATCGAATCTGAGTGTGGTAGCACACATCTGTGATCCTAGCATTCTAGGAGGATGAGACAGAAGGATCTCAAGTTCCAGCCCAAACTGAGGCAGCTGGGCATTCAGTGAGAATGCATTTCCAAAAAAGTTGGGGAGGAGGCAGGTGGGCAGAGGATGTAACTCAAAGTGAAGGAAAAGAGGAGAAAAATAGTTGCCTTACTTTCTCTTGGACCACAGAAAAACAAATTGTTATTTTCGTTTCTATGTCTGGCTTATTTCACACCACAACACACACTAAATCGATTTGCACTCTGAAGTCTAAAACAGTTGACCTCACGGCAGTGAAGAGTGAAACAGTGATTGTCAGAGATGACAGGAGGTGGCGGGAGGGAAGGGAAGGAGGCCAACTGTGGGTGCAAAGTTGCCTTTAGAAATGGTAAGTGAGTTTTATTATTCTCTCATAGAATGGAGAATCTATGAGTAATCATCATACGTCATATATATCAAAATAGCTAGGAGGATTTTGAATATTCTGAACACAATAAATGCAAAGGGCTGAGATAACAGATATTCTAAGTACCCTGATTTGATCATTAGATGTGGTTTATACATGAGCTGAAAGTTCTCATAATATCCCAGTATATACAAATAATCATATCAATTAAAAATTTAAGAAAATTTGTCAAATCATTATTTATTGGCACAGAAAAAAATCTATTATTTTAAAAAGCCCAGGTTTGTTGTTGTTTGTATAGTTACTTTTTGAATTTTGCTTCATCAATCTTTTACAGTTTTTTCCTATACAGATGTTCAGTCTGTAAGTATCTTGCCACAAAAATATATCATCAGTTTTGTCTTTGAAATATTTCATTTTCAGCTGTGTTGTTTTTACTAGTCCTAAAGTGCATGAACAGTTAGAATACAGCCTGAAACAGAAAGCTTTTTTTTTCTTGCAATCTCTCAGGAGCCAGAGAAGCTCATTAGACCATTTTTCCCCTTGGGACCATTTAATAGCTCACTTTGCTTATTGGGCACATTTGCCAGTATTTTGCACTGTTTAAATACGTTGGGTGTGGTGGCTCACACCTGTAATCCCAGCTCTCTGGAGGCTGAGGCAGGAGAATCATTGCGAGTCTGAGACCAGCCTAGGCTACAAAGTGAGCCCAAGGCCAGCCTGAACTGCATAGTGAGACCCTGTCTCTAAATAAATAAATACAGGGTAAAAGAAAGATACCCATGCCAAAATGGACCCTCAGTGTTACCTGGTTATGGGAGAGTTACAAACTGGGATTCCTGGGTACCAGTCACATTTTTTTTTCAATAAAAGATAATTCTTTGGAGACAGCTTGCCTGGTGGCCATTCATTTTAAGTTATATGACTGGGAAGGAGGAAAAACATGGTATTAACACGGCCCCAGGCTGTCATGCCATGCAGCACGTCTTAAAGCAGGGTGTGTGCGTATGTGCACAAGGGAACACACATTTGCCTTTGGGATAAGGGAAATTTTCAGAGGCAGTGGAGCTGGGCTCAGTGTATTCCAAAATATAACTCATAATGCACAGCCCACAACGTAAGCAAACATATACACAGAAACACGAGTTCATTTCAATTCAAGTCAAGCTGACTTCCTAAAAGGCAAGCATAATAACACCCAGCCCGAGACCCTATGCACAGAGTTTTGTTCTTTATTAATCTGTGGTGTTATCTTCCAGCAGTCTCCCCTCACTTGTTTCCCCTGTCATACTGAACTTTTCTTGACCTCAGACATCTGAAACAAGCATCACCCTCAGGGCCCTTTGTCCTGGCTGTGTCGCTGATGAGATCTGCACTTTTGCAGAAAGACCTGTGACTCTCTCCCTGCCTTCCTGGAGGTCTCTTTTCAAGTGTCGCCTTCCTGATGGTCTCGCTGTAAAACAACACCCCTTCTCTTTCTCCTCCGCCTTGGTCTTCTTTTCTTCACAATAATTCCCAGAACATGATCATCACTAAATCATATTCCACAATTGCATGAAAAAGATTCCAGTTCTCCAATATGATCCCTCTTGGAGAATGTTAGAGTAGATCAGGAATTCCAGCTCAACACCAGCAGGGGGAGCCACTGAAGCTGAACATTCACGGACAAAGCAGAACCCAGGGAGCTGACTGTGGAATACACAGGATCCCATTTCTATAAGACTCCTAATGCATAATGTGCTGGGTTATTTTTCTCTTTCTTTTTATAGGCATATGGCACCAGAGAATCACACCAAAATTTCAGAATTTCTCCTTCTGGGAATTTCAGAGAACCCCAGCTTGCAACCCTTCCTCGTCGGGGTTTTCCTGTACATGTACCTGGTCACCGTGATTGGGAACCTGCTCATCATCCTGGCCACAACTGCATACTCCCACCTGCACACACCCATGTACTTCTTCCTCTCCAACCTGTCTTTTGTTGACATCTGTTTCACTTCCACCACGGTGCCCAAGATGCTGGTGAACATTCATACACACGACAAGGCCATAACCTATACAGGCTGTGTCATTCAGATATACTTCTTCATACTCTTTGGAGTTTTGGACAACTTTCTTCTCACGGTGATGGCCTATGACCGCTTTGTGGCCATCTGTCACCCGCTGCGTTACACAGTCATCATGAATCCCAAGCTCTGTGGACTGCTAGTTTTGATGTCCTGGATCACAAGTGCACTGAACTCCTCCTTACAAAGCTTGATGGTGTTACGGCTGTCCTTCTGCACAGAGCTGAAAATCCCGCATTTTTTCTGTGAAATCAATCAGGTTGTGCTCCTTGCCTGTTCGGACACTTTTTCTAATGACATGGTAATGTTTTTTGCAGCAGGGCTGCTGTTCTGTGGCCCTCTGGCTGGCATCCTTTACTCTTACTGTAAGATTGTTTCCTCCATCCGTGCCATCTCATCCACTCAGGGGAAGAAGAAAGCATTTTCCACCTGTGCCTCTCATTTATCTGTGGTCTGCTTATTTTATTGCACGTGCCTAGGAGTGTATTTTAGCTCATCTGCCACACACAACTCACGCTCCAGTGCGACAGCCTCCGTGATGTACAGCGTGGTCACCCCCCTGCTGAACCCCTTCATCTACAGTCTGAGGAATAAGGACCTAATGGGAGCGCTGAGAAAACTCTTCCAAGGGAAGACATAAAAGAGCCACTTCAAGAAGTGTGTGCAGTCCCAATTCCCTAAGCATCGGGTCCATTAACTGTGTGACTTTCGCATCAGGTCATGAGGTACAATCATTCTGCTTATTTCTGCTTTGGAATCTCAATTTATTTAAATCAGCACCTCATAGAAATTTAGCAAGCTCATTTCTAAGCTTCCCGTGCTCTCTGATAACCAGTAGTGTCCCTGTCTCGTTTTCTACCTTCCCATTGTTTTTCATGAGCTTGGACCAAAAACACTTTGGAGATTACCTTCAGTCTCATGTTGCAGAAAGCTTCTGCCTTGATACATAAACGAGAGATTCAGCTTTTCAGCCCATGTTGAACATCTCTAGTCTGAAAATCCCAAGTGCTCTGAAATATCAAGGTGTCTAAGTGTTTAACAGTACATCAAGTTAAAAAACGCCACACAATGAAATCTTGCTTCATGCAGAAAATTATCAAGTTTTTATATGTAGTTACCTCCAGGTCACACATATAACATAAATTAAAAAATAAGGTCAGGTGTGGAAGTACACGCCTGTAACCCCAACACTAGGGAGGCTGAGCAGGAAGATTGCTGCATGCTTGAAGCCATCCTGCTTCATGCCTGAACCTTGTTCTCTGAACAATTGCTGTAAGTATAACGTGCAATGTGTTGATTATGGTTACGCTCCTACTAGCCTGTTTTAAAACTTTCTAGTTATTATTTCTTACTGTTTTCTGTTTAAAATTTTTCAATTTTTTTTCAACACAGGGTCTTGTCATGCAGTTAGGGCTGGCCTTGAGCTCACTTTGTAACCTAGGCTGGTCTCAAATTCACAACGATCCTCCTGCCTCAGCCTTCCGAGTGCTGGGATTACAGGTGCGTGCTATTATGCCCAGCCAACTTTTAAATTTTTAAAAAGTGAAAAACATAAAATAACAATAGGCATCACCAACATCGCAAGATTATTAGTGACAACTTTTGAAATCCATAGTCCAACAAATGGAAAATCTATTTGAAAAAAAATGGACACCTCTTGGACACACATGAATTACCTAAACTGAATAAAGATGATATAAAAAATGAACAGTCCGTAAAAAACCCAACATCAAAATTTCTCAAATTCTGTAGTGAAAGTGAAAGGGGAGGGGTATTTCCTTGCTCATTCCTAGAAGCTAGCAATATCTTGATTCCAAAACCAGGCAAGGACCCAACTAAAAAAGAAATCTACAGGACAATCTAATGAGTATTAGACACAAAAACCCTCAACAAGATTCTAGCAAAACAATTGCAGTAAGTCACAAAATTATTATACCTCATGACCAACTTAGTCTTCATCCCAAGGATTCAAAGTTGGCACAACATTTACAAACCAATAAATGTGATAAATCACATAAAGAGAAACAAAGACAAAAATCACACGATCATCTCAGTCCCTGCAAAAAAATAAAATAAAACACTGACAAAATCCATGCATTCACTGATGATTAAATCCCTGAATAAAATAGGTATAGAAGGACTTTATCATAATCTAACAAAAGTCATTTTGACAAACCTATAGCCTAAATGGAGAGAAGATGAAAGCTTTCCCTCACAAATCAGGAACAAGAGAAGAAACTCTCCACCAGCAATTGCACTGCGGGCCGTGCATACTCTATTTTGGCAAAGACATTTTTCTACAATTGGCCAGTCTCCTTAGACTGTAAGTGGTGCTGCATTTAAACCAGCTGAACTACATTATCTGGTGAAGGAAATTTCCAGTCATCCCAAAGTTTAGGTTGCCACATGCATACTGCTATATTCCTTTAGTGATATCCATAGAACAAATTAAGGGGAAAAGCCAAAATAAATAATTTGAAAACTATTCAGCTTAGCCAGAAAGGAAGTATCTACAGTGTTGGGGCCTTCGACGGTGTGGTTGCTAAAAGAATTAACATCTAACAAACCAAGCACAGTAAAACCTTGGATACCAAGTATCATGTTCTATGAGTGCTCCACAAGACAAGCGATCATTTCTAATAAATTTTAACTTGATAAACAAGCAACGTCTTACAGTGAGTATGTCTGATGTCAAATGTCACATGATCAGAAGTGAGCCAATAGTTCAGTGTCTCTCTTTATGAGGAGTTATTGCATCCTCTTCCAACAGCAAGAGGTTATTAAAATCTCGCCAGCAGAGGAGAGGGAGAAAAAGGTGGGGGAATCCTTCACTTCAAATGAAATAAGGGAGATGTGTAACGTGCGAAACTGCAAAATTTTGTAGAAAAATACCGGCCAAATAAGGCTGTGGCAGTGTGAGAAATGAATCTGTTTAACAGCAATGCATTAAAACATTTCCATTATGTCCTCAAAAGAAGGAAACGCAAGTATCACGGAACTGGTTTCTTGCTAAAGTTGCATGAAAAGAAAAAGATTCCATTGAGCCAATTGCAGTGTTTTTTTATTAGCGATAGTGTTACTTTATATAATAATCCTCTCTCTTGTCACCTTCACACCAGCCATGAAGATTTTCCAAGATAAGTACAGGATAATTTGTTCATTTTTCTCTATATTTTGGATTATGTGTATTATTTGAGATTATATAACAGTTTTGTAATCATTTCATAAGAATATTTGGGGTTCTGGAAGAGTCATACGAAGTTCCCCTGTTTCTTACGGAGAAATTGACTTTGATACACAACTGCTCTGGATTATAAGCATATTTGCAGAACAACTTGTGTTCTCAGACCAAGATTTTTCTGTATTTTAACAGACCTTGTGGAGAACACGTATAAATAGAAACAGGAGTCTAAATTTGAAGCACTTCTGGACTAGGTTAAGACACCTTGTATGGAAATAAAAACCTTTATTTTATTTCCAGGCTGGTGATGTTGCTCAGTGGTGATAGAGCACTTGCCTAGCATGACCAAGGTCCTGTGTTCAATCTCCAGCATTAACAAAAAGAAATTAAAAAAAAAAAAACAAAACACTTCGCCCATGACATTTGCAGTACGTGAGGATATTGTGATAAGTGAAACAAGCCAGACAAAAATTGCAAGTACTGTATTGTTTCACTTTTATTAAACACACTAACTAGTCCAAATCACAGACAAAAAATCTGGGTGCAAGCGCAGTTCAGAACAGAAAGATTTGCGCTTTACTGAAATGACAGCATTAAATCCAGGTCGTCAAGCATTCTATGCTAGATCTTTACTACGCAGCTACATCCGCATCTCGCCCAGGAAGGGACAGCTTCTCAATAGGTCTTTCCAGTCTTGCGAAGTTAACACAGTTCCGGAAATTAGTTTGACACTAGGGAGGTACTCAACCCTACAGACAAGGACAACTGACCGTGTCCCCAGGAGCTGAGGCTGGAGCTCTGCACTAGAGTACTTGGTTCCTAAGCCTGAGGCTCCGTATTGGTCCTCTGACCACTCTCTCACGCACTCGCACAAATGTACATGAGCTCTCGCATGCACTCGCTGCACTGGGGTGCGGGGGAAAGGGGAGAACAGCGTTAACTTCAGCAGTTCAGGCCAACGGAAAGCTGAGCGGACGCCATTTCTAGCCGATCACGTGACTGCCCGCCCTGCTGTCACTCAGAGGAAAAGGGGCTGAGCTACTGAACTATCCAATCAGCATCGTCGCTGGAAGTGGGCGGGCTCACTGCGCATGCGCTGTGGGTGTGACGGGAATCTTCTGATACCGCGGGAGCTTGGGTCTCCGGTGGTCCCTGGGCTGCGTCTTTTGTCGCGCCGTCCTCCCGGGTGCTGAGGGCTTCTCAGGCAGGCTTGGGAGACGCCGGCGGCGGGGACATGGCAGCAGTGAGTGTGGGGCTGGCAGCGCTCTGCCACGCGACGGACGCGGTGTCCGCGCTGCGCGGTGGGGGTCGCAGTCGGCCCGGACTCCTCCGGCCGCGGCCGAGCCCTATAGGTCCCTGCGCGGCGGCCGGGACCCAGGACTGCGCGGGCGGCGGGACCTTGGGTCGGGACGCAGGGGTCAGGAGCGCGGGCTCCCGGGAAGGCGCGGGCGGAGCGGGCTCTGCGGCCTGGGGATGAGCGCGGTCCCGGCGCTGCACGGGCCTGTGCTCCCCAGGGCGGATCCCTCTGCGGCCTCGCGTGGCTCCACTGCTGCGTGGAGCTGGCAGGCCGCGTCTGATCCCGGAGGACGTCGGGAGTTTCCCGTCAGATCCTGATATTAAACAGCCCCGGTGCTTAACTCCCTTTGGTACTTGGCACTTTTATTCCTGTTTGATCCTGTGCAGTTTCCAGTTGTTTGGGGGAAGAGGTGATGCGAAATGCGAATGACAGATGCAGTGCTAGAGACCGTAAAAATTCCGAATCCAACCGAAATTTCATTCCTTTATAGGAGAGAGAAAGTGTGAGTCAGGGCGTCTGCATAGTGTATTCTTACGTCCACGTTTCAGTTCTTTAATTTGTTTTAAAAAATGTTTTATGGGAAAAAATAAAGTTTCAAAACAAAATAATAGGACGCTGACAGTAGTTAATGCATTGCATATTGTTATCTTCAAAGTAATTGGAGTGCGAGATATGTTCATTAAAGCCTCCAGATGACATTAGCGCATGCTTTTCGTTTCAATGAACTAAGAGACACTAGTAGTATAACTGTCTGGTGTTTGTCGTTTCTGTTTCCCTTCCTGCCTTTACTCCAACCTAGTGTCTTTCCTTTTCGACAATTTCTTCCCCTTTACAATCTCTGTTGCGTATTTTGGGCAGTTCTTTTAAATGATGTTTGCCTTGGTTCTCTGGCGCTCTCTTGTGCTAGGCGAGTGCTGTAAACTAAACTACACCCCCAGCCATGAGCTTCCATTTTAAATAAAATGAAAGCTATGAAAAGGAAATGCACACTCCCTCAAATTTTTGGTACTTTAAGGGGTTGATTTCAAACCTGAATGAGTGGCATCTGTTCTAGTAATAGCTGACGTTGTGAGTAAAGAAGGAAAATTAGTGAAACCATTGGTGGCTTTAGTTAGTAGAAATGTGAAAATTTTATTTTATGGTTTGTAAAACTACCTTTAAAACTTACCATTTTAGGGGCTGGGGATTTATTTTCTTTTTTTTTTTTTTTTTTGTCTTTTTCATTTTTTTATTGGTACCAGGGATCGAAGCAGGCAGGACAGGCACTTATGCCGCTGAGCTAAATCCCCGGGCCTGGGGATTTAACTCAGCGGCATAAGCACCTGCCTTGCAAGTGTGCGGTCGCGAGTTCGATCCCTGGTACCGATAAAAAAGAAAAAGCCAAAAAAAAAAAAAACCTTACCATTTTAAAGATTCTGTCTTAGAACAGTTTGCACAAAGGGAGAATTTTGGGCCTGAGATATAGCTCAATAGCAAAGTGCCTTCCTGGCAAGGGCAAGGTCGTGAGTTCAATCCCCAGACCAGAAAAATAAAAAAGGAAGACTTTTTTAAGAGATGATGAAAGATAGCTCAGCAGCATAAGTGCCTGCCTGGCAAGTGCAAGGCCCTGAATTTGATTCCTGGTACAAAGCAAAAAAATTCTAGTAATGAAAAAAAAAAAAAAACAGTAGCAGAAAACGTATTCAAAGAATACAAAGATGAAAATCTAAGGTCAGCAGGTTCATTGCCCACATTAACTGTTCCACTCCAGGGCTTCTGCTGAGTCCAGTCCTAAATACCTGTTTTAGATAATATCTCCTCTTACCTGGGTTTTTGCATCACATAAGCCGGAGCTTGGAGCCTAGTGTGGTGCACACCTATAATCCTAGCACTGGAGGAGGCTGAGGGAGGAGGATTGCAAATTTGAGTTTGGCCATCTGAACTTAGGAACTTAATAAGATGCTGACTCCAAATCAAAAGGTCAAGGATTTTGGGTGTGAATGCCCTGGGTTCTATTCCCAGGATAAGGGGAGAAAAAAAAAACATACTGAGCAGGAGCTGGTAGTATAGATTGTAAACTCAGTTGCCCTTGCTCCACAGCCCCCTATTTTGGTTTGTTTTCTTGTTACTGTGACACAGTATTCCATACCCACATCCTTAAGGGAAACAGGTTTAAGTTTGCTCCTGATTTTCAGAGATTCAGCCGCTGGTTGGCTCCAAAGAAGAATCGTCACAGTAGAAAGCTGTGGCATAACAAGGCTGCTTAGTTCATGTGAGCTGCAAGGCAGAGCTGGGGAAGACCGTGTGACAGGAAGGAGTGGAGAATAGACATTCCCCAGTGTCCCCTTTCAGTGACACGCCTGCAAGTATACTCCACCAACCCTTGAGTGGGTCCCAAAGTCAAATCAAGTTGACTCTTCCTGCATCAGACATGGTGGTTCATGCATATAGTGTCACTTGAAGCAGGAGAATTTCCGTGAAGTCCTGTCTTACTCTAACCCTGACTTAGACTATATCCAAAAGAAGAGTGACACACCTCCTTAACCTTCATAATTCCCTGCCCCCTCTTTGGTGCTGAGAATGGACTCCAGGGCCTCAGTTTATTAGGAGTACAACTTAGAGACACAAGCAGACCTTTAATTTGTGTCCTCCCACTTTTTTCTTTAAGACTTCATCTCTTAGTGACCCCTACTCAGTCTTTAGCCTTACAGACGTGTCCCACATATGTGGAACAACATGATTTTAGCATGGCCATCTGACTCTTTTTTGCCCTTAATGTATCTCCAGTAAACATCTTCTACTTGACTGATCTTTCTATATTATTAGCTTTTAATTATATTGCTTATCAAAAGTGAGCCCTCCAATTTCATCTCAAGGCATATTGTAGTTCATTCTGCATTTAATGTGTTTCTACTTTTTACTTTCTAAGATAGAAGTTGTGATTACTGGCCTACATACCTTTTATTTTGTTTGCAGTATATGTGTTTAGTAGGATAAATTTGCTAGGAGACAGCACTATTCCTGCATTCCAGGAATTGTGAGGTCTGTTTTCATTTTCCTCCATATCTTGGATATTCTGTTTTCTGTTCTTTCTTGCGTGAAAGTTTTTGAAGTTTCCATTTACATTTTATTGAGATCAGTGATTTATTTTTCATTGATTTGCATTGATTGTATGCCCCCCTTAAATGCAGTTCTTCATTTCTATTGCAATGTGTCTTATTTCCTATATTCACTTTTGATTCTTTGATTTTTTTTAAATCTGTGATTGAAATTATCTATTTGTTTATGTACATTTTTAACTTCTTATATATAGTTCAGCATTTTAATTTTAACTTTGGCATGGTGATTTTAACAGCTCTTGTATATCTAAATGTGTTTTTGGGACTTATATTCTCTTTGTAAACTGGATACGTTATTTTGTGAATACTGAGAGTAAAAGCTAGGTTTCACCTACCTCTGGGCTATATCACCAGCTATTTTGTTTTGTTTTAAATATTTTACGTCAGGGTCTTGGTAAGTTGCTTAGGCTAAATTTGAATCTGTGATTTTTGCTACCTCAGCTACAGTAAGTCCTGAGATTATAGGCATGTACCAGTATTCCCAGCTTCAGCCTGTGCTTTTGTTGTTGTTGTTGTTCATTTTTGTTTGTTTTTCTTTGAGACAAAGTCTTGCTGTGGAGTTCACACTGGCCTTGAATTATTGTGTACCTCAAGTTGACAGGAACTTCTGGGGATCCCTGCCTTAGGTTCTTGCATGATGAGATTATAGGAGTGCGGCATCACACCTGCCTTCAGATTACACTTTTTAATGTCTATTTTTCCACCGGGTGTTTTGGTGCACACCTGTCTTCCAAGCACAGGGGATGCAAAGCAGGAGTTGCTGGTAGCTGGAGGCCAGCCTGGGCTACATAGTGAGTAAAAGACCAACCTAAACTGCATACCAAGACTGTCTCAAAGAGGAAAAAAAGGCGTGGTTTTCCTTAAATATTGGGTATGATGTCATTGCAAAAAGCAACTCAGATCTTCGATGTGAGAATTTAGGATTATCCTGCTGGGTGTGGTATGGGTTAGTGTTTATAGACCTGTGTGTGTTAAATTGATTTGATCCCTCATGTCATTTCTGTGCTTCCATAAAAACACCCTAGGTGTGTACAAAGAAATACATTCTGACAAGAATATATTCACTCTTTGCTTAAGGAAATCCAAATGACAGTGTGGTGATTTGCAGAAACCTAGGTATAAAAGCAATTGCCTATGATTCCAGCTACTCAGACTAGTTCAGGGCCAATCAGTTCGATATAACAAGACTTATGTCAAAGTAAAACTTAAAAATAAAACTCTGGTGTGTTTCTGTTACAGCTTGTATCTCTGTGTGCCCCCAAAGTCTTTTGTGATTGTAGGTAGGACTTGCAGGAGGTTGCTGGATGTAGATTGTATGATGCTAGGATAAAAGTTGTGTGGGTGCTAAATCAGTCCCCTTGGTTTGGCATATTTCTGGGTAGGAGTAAGAATACCTCACCCTGGGTGTGTTTTATTAGATAAAATATAAACAACAGAAAAAGGGCTGATGTGATCCCTGGTACCTCGCTACTTTGTCTTCTTCCTGTCGTGAACTCTTTCTCTATCATGGTGTCTTTCTGCCTGCCTGTCATGTGCCACCCTGCCTTGAAGCCAGTCAGCTGTGAACTGAAACCTCTACAAACTGAGCCAAACAAACTTTTCCTCCTTCAACTTTGCGTGTTAGTTATTTTGTCTCAGCAACAAGAAAAGTAACTAACAGTTTCTACATGGTAGAGTACTGGATAGCTTGTAAGACAGTGTAGATTCCATATCTAGTACCATAAATCAGCAGTGCATCAATATAGATCCAAAAGATCGACCTTGCAAAGGTCTTCCCTTTGCAAGAAGGTGTATCACCAAGCTGCATTACAAGTCGCAAGTAACTATTTTTATTCCATTCTGGGTCTATTTCAGTATGGTTTTGTTTGATTCTGGGGAGTTAACCCAGAGCTACCCACATGGTGGTAAGCACTCTGTTACTGAACCACGTTTCAGACCTGTGTTTTTATTGCCCTTGCTGGTCTCGAGCTTGCAGTTCTGCTGTCCCAGCTTCCCAGTTACCTGGAACTTTTGATGTGTACCACATCTGAGTACTTCTAATAGCATGCAGTATCTCCGAACAACCCAGTTCAGATATTCTATTTCTCTACTCTTCTACTTGCTGGGAATGGTTTCCAGGCTGTATTGATCCATTAAAACCACATCTGCATTTCACTCTGTATCATGAAATAGGAACTGATACAGTGTACAACAAAGTTCAAATGAGCATGTCTCATACGAACTAGGTTATACTGGTTTTGTTGCTTTTGAACATCATTTTTCTCATGTTGAGAGGTGAATGGAGCCTGGTGGGGTGGCGCATACGTGTAATCCCAGCCATTAGAGGCTGAACAGGAAGATTGCTGGGAACTCAGGCCAGTATGGGCTGTGTAGTAAGATCAAGGCGAGCCTGAAGTATGTAGTGGGACCCGGTCTCAAAAAACCACACACACACAGACACCCACACACACAGAGATGATTTGGCACTGCCATTAAATGGCAGTATGATATGCAGAGGTTAGAATGTAGAAGTCATTTCAATGTGATTCTTTACTGCTAACTTTCAAGACAAAGTGAGAGCTGATGTTCTGGTCATCAGATCATTCGGTCAATGTTTGGAGACCCTGTACTTGAACATCGCAGGGGTTGTGGGTATTTCTCCAGTGCTACTGGACTGACCATCTTCTTTTGCCAATTTGTGGATATTTCAGCACACCGTGGACTTTGAGGATGTGGCTGTGAAGTTCACCTTTGAAGAGTGGGCTCTGCTGGACCCATCCCAGAAGAGACTCTACCGCGATGTGATGAGGGAGAGCATGAGGAACCTGGCCGCCGTGGGTGAGGAGGACCACATTCCTTCATTTAGTGAATTAGGAAATTTCTTTTATGCAGTTGGGAAAAACTGTAACGTTAGAGAAGTGTAAAGTGAGTTAAGTTGTTTATGCATCTAGAATTACAGCTTTGTGTAATTTCTACCTTATGATTTTTGTGGATGTGACTTTTAGGGAACACATGGAAAGAGCAGAGCACAGAAAATAAGGATGAAAACCAGGAAATTAATCCAAGGTGAGCAGCACTCATAATGGTAGGTCATGACTATCAAGAAAACTCACAGATGATGGCTTTAAAAACAAGCAAGTAACCTGTAAGCCCAGGTCTAATGTACTTGTTGGGAAATTTTAATGGAAAATGTTTATGTATCCAGGTCATCAATGTTTCAGATGCTGGTAAGAAATCCTTGTCTTACTTACTTTTTTGTTGCTGGGACAAAGTATCCAGCACCCACAAATTAAATGCGCAGAAGTTTCTTTTGGCTCACAGTTTGTGAAGATTTCAGTCTGTGGTCCGCTGGCTCCAAGGCAGGGTGGCACAGCAAAGGGGCGTCACAGGAGAAGCAGCCCATGGCAGTGCAGGCAGGAGGCAGCCAGCAGCAGCAGCACAAGCAAGACTGCCTTGTCCTTTCATCCCATCCAGGATTGGCTTTCCTGTTACCCATACACAGAGCTATGCTACACCGCACATCCCTAATCCCAGTATGACACACCATAGTAGATCCAGCCAGCTCCAGAAAGCCCCAGCTAGGTGCATATGAGGCTTTGAGGGGACATCTAGACACAAGCTGTAACAATCCCACATTAAGTATGCCTCTTTTCATTACTAGGTATTAACCATGGGGGCTTCCACCGTGGTATTACTCCCACTCCCACTCACTTTTGTCTTTTGAGAAGGGTTTATATAATTCTGACTGTTTTGAACTTTCTCTGTAGTGTAGGTAACCCTGCAAGTTGTGAATTCCTGGCTGTGTGTGTACTACCATTCCTTTTTATCTTAATTTCTGTTTTAACTGTGAGTTGGGATCTTCCCATCTGAATTTCTCAGGCTGGCTTTAAAATTGAGACCCTCTTCCCTCAAGCTTTCAGTAGCTGAGGTTACAGTCATGGGCCACTCTGCCTGCTAATCCTATTGTTGTGATATTGATGATAGTTAAGTACTTTTCTAGAATCTTCCATTCACTTTTAAATAATTCTGGCAGCGAAGAAAAACTGTAGATCTGAAAATACTTTAAAAAGAGTTCTTCTACTGAATATTTGAAATCACTGACAATGTGCTATTCATTCTTTACAGAAGTCATATGTTGGAAAAACTTTATGAGCATAATGATCATCAGTGTGCAAAAAATATCTCAAATTCCACTCTCACCAAGGAAAGCCCTACTTGTATAACACCCTGTAAAGGCAGCTTGTGTGGAAAACTCATACATCCAGGATTCCTTAATGGGCAACCCAGCTCACTTCCTAGGCACAGACTACCTGAGAGTCAGGAATATGAAGAGAAGTCATATAAGTTGCATGATGACACATTCAGCTGTCACCAGTGGCTCCAGAAACACGAACAGCATCCTACTGAAGAAAAGCAGGGTGACAAATGCTTCAGATTTCTCAGTTTCTTACAGATGGATGAAAGAAGTCCTAGGGAGAAACCCCATGAATGTAAAGAATACAGAAAAGCATCCTTTACTTCCACAAGCTTGCAGGGTCATGTAAATCCTCAATCTACAGCAAAACAGTATGAATGCACAACATGTGGGAAAGCCTTTCTTCATCACATAACACTGAAGATACACATGAAACGGCATGCTGGAGGGATACAGTACCACTGTAAAACCTGTGGGATATTTTATTTATACTACTCAGCACTTAAGCAGCATGAAAGGAGTCACAGTGGAGAAGAACCACATGAATACAGTCTACATGGTAAGTCCTTCAGTGTTTCCACATATTCACGACATAACCCAAAGACTCCCAACACAGAAAATCCTTACACATGTACGGTATGTGGCAAAGACTTTAAACATTCCAGTAGCTTTCAGTTACATAAAAAAACTCATGCTGGAGAGAAACTTCACAAATGTCAGCAATGTGAGACTTCTTTCATTTGTTTTCGAGATCTTCAATCCCACCTAAAACTGCACACTGGGTATCGGCCTTACAAATGCAAGGATTGTGGGAAAACGTTCAAGAGTTCAAATGGCTGCACTGGACATGAAAGGACCCACACTGGGGAGAAACTCTATGAATGTAAGCAGTGTGGTAGGTCCTTTGCCTACTGTACTACGTTCCGAGTCCACCAGAGAACTCACACAGGAGAGAAACCCTATGAATGTAAGCAGTGCGGTAGCACCTTTGCTTACTACACTTCCTTTCGAGTGCACCAAAGATCTCACACTGGAGAAAAGCCGTACAAATGCAGGCAGTGTAGTAAGGCCTACTCTGCCTACAGTGGTCTCAGAAGGCATGAAGGGACGCACACCGGAGACAAACCTTATGAATGTAAACAGTGTGGGAAGGCTTATGTTTACTCCAGCAGTCTCCAGCGGCATGAGAAAACTCACACTGAAGAGAAACCTCATGAATGTAGGCAATGTGGTAAGTCCTTCTCTTGGTCCACTGCCCTCCAGTATCATGAAAGAACTCACACTGGAGAGAAACCGTATGAATGTAAACAGTGTGGTAAGACCTTTGCTTACTGCAGTGCCCTGAGAGGTCATGAAAGAACTCACAGTGGACAGAAACCCTACGAATGTAAACAGTGCAGCAAGACCTTTGCTTACAGTAGTGCACTGCGTGCCCATGAAAGAACTCACACTGGACAGAAACCTTATGAATGTAAAGAATGTGGGAAGGCATTTGGTACTTTTTACACCCTGCGAATACATGAAAGAATTCATACTGGACAGAAACCTTATGAGTGTAAACAGTGTGGTAAGTCCTTCTCTCAATCCAGCACCCTCCGAGGTCATGAAAGAATTCACACTGGACAGAAACCCTACAAATGTAAGCAGTGTGGGAGGGCCTTTTCTTTTTCTAGGTCCTGTAGAGACCATGAAAAAACGCACACAGGAGAGAAACCCTATGAATGTAAACAGTGTGGTAAGACCTTTATTTGTTGTAGTGCCCTACGAACACATGAAAGGAGAACTCACACTGGACAGAAATCTTACACATGTAAACAGTGTGGTAAGGCGTATGGTGATTTTAGCACCCTGCGAGCACATGAAAGGATTCACACTGGTCAGAAACCCTATGAATGTAAATGTGGTAAGACCTTTGCTTACTCCAGTGTTCTCCGAGTCCATCAAAGAACTCACACCGGAGAGAAACCCTATGAATGCAAACAGTGTGGTGAGGCCTATGCTTATGCCACATCCTTCCAACGACATCAGAGAATGCACGTTGGAGAAACCGTATGAGTGTAAGCCATGTTACAAACCCTCACTAACTCCTGTGGTTTTCAGCAGCATATTAACACTGAGGTGGAGGTTTATGAAGATACATAATACAGTAAAATCATTGGTTCCATTTAGACTTGAGTGCATGGGCCAAAATCAGTAGAGAGAATCTTTCTACCTGTGAACACTTGGGCAAGACCTTTAGATATTGAAGTAGCATTTAAGGACAAAGTACAAAAAAGTTAAAAGACCTGTGTGGTAAACAGTGTAATGAATTTAGGTGTGTCTGTTTTCTACTGTGTTAAAGATCCCATTATGGAAAGAAACCCTGTGAATTGGTATGTTGAAACATCTATCACATCACAACCTTTGAGGATTTAAAATGGACAGGAGCATATTAATACAAACTTCACATCTTCAGATATTTTCTTATTTTGAAATCATAACTCATCAAGAGAGACTTCTTTACTTTTTAATTTTTTAACTAGTTTTTGTCTCAGGATCTTCGTACTGAGCTAAATTTGAAGCCCTTTATCTCTTACTGAGATCATTTCTGAGTTGCTAATTTGCCCAGGCTGGGTTTGAAGTCGGTAAACTGGCCTAACACACATAGGGCTGTGTATATAGGTGTGTACACCATAGCCTTTTGCAAATTTTTTAAAAACAATATGGAGATACCATTAATTAGCTTGCCTCCTTAAAATATCATGTAGGATTGCACATTGGATAAAACTGTAGGGATGTGAAAACTTCTTGAATGTACTGTATTTTAATATTTTGGACATGTGAAGATTGCAACTGGGTAGAAGGCCAGTAAACATATAAAGCTGAATTCAGGTCTTTGCACATATAATGCTTTATAGAATTATCTGTATGCACTATTATTTTAAAGGTTTTAAATATATTGTTTTTACCTGGGAGACATTCTTATCTTTTGTTTGGCAGTTAAAATGTGACAAAAAAGTGAAAAATGTTTGACACATGCCTGTAATTCTAAGCATGAGAGGCTTAGGTAGGAGATTAGAAGCTCAAATCATGTCTTGATAACTTGTCTTAAAAAAAAGTAAAGTCCTGAGATTGTATCTCAGTGCAGGGGCTGTGTTCAGTGCTGTTTACCAAAAACGTGAAAGGAATGTTGTCACAGTTTAAACAATCAGGACATGCTGTGATAAAATCACTTTCTAGTTCCTGCTGACATCCCCCCCACAAAGAGTTGCTGGAGACAGCCCGATGCTTGAGGTGGCTCACAGACACCTTTAGGCACAGGTGAGTTAGCACTGGTGTCCCATTTTGTGTTTACAGCCTTTTGTTATGTGTCACATGGCTTCAGTTTGGGTTAAACAAATAAGAGCCTCCTTGCTTCACACTCAGAGCTGGTGTAGCATGGCATCAGTAAAGGTAGTTGGAGGTGATGTGTCATCTGGTTCTGTCAGTGTTTTCTTACTCAAGTACATTGTGGTACACAGGTTGACAACTCTGAATTATGTGAGGTTGACTCAGCACAATATGAAAAACCTGTTAGTCACTATGCTTCTAAACATACAGTGCAGTTATCCAAGAGCAGTGGCCCTGGAGGCCCATGACATAGACAAAGTGTCTGCCACCTCTTATGCTGTGTACAGTATTGGTCTGTGGCCTCTCAAGAACTAGTCCAAACAACAGGAAGTGATTATTGCAAGAAAAGAGGAAGATTTATCTGCACTGAGCAGCCGCTCCCCATAGTTTCTACTTCCAATCAGACTAGCAGCATCACTGGAGTGGCACAGAAGAGGAAACCTTCAGTTGTGCACGTGTGAGATACACATTGTCCATTCCTTATGAGAATCTAACACCTGGTCCAAGTCCTGGCTCAAGTGATTGTGTGTAAACACAGACTAATATCAAATTGATTTGCACAGAGATCATAAGTTGCTTATAGACTGATCAAATCTGTTAGTGGCAAGTGACAATCTGGTGACAGGCTTTATATCAGAAACCTCTTGTTTTCATCCACTTCTGGGACACCCATTTTATTTGCCACTTTGGCCAATACGTTTTTTTCCACAGGGTGCATTTGTTTCTGTCACACATTTGGTAAACCAGAAGCTAATCCGAGGCAAAAGAGTAAAATTCAGATATAACTGATGTAATTTTAAAAGGAAAATAGGTCCAATAGTGAGATACCAGAAGACTCTTTAGGACTGCCAACAAAAAGTTCTTAAGTTACAGTTTAATTACTAAGAATTGGACCCTCCTGAAGCAAAGACAATCAAGAAATAAGCAACTGAAATGAACTGACACTTCTCAAAGGACAAATGGCCTACAATGAAAAGTGTCCAACATCTCAGGGCACCATGGAAATGCAAACTCAACACTGAGTGTCTCACACCAGAAAGAATCACCATTGTCACCAAAGTTTATCAACAAATACCAACTGTTGGTTAGACTTCTAGGTGAAAGGGAAATCTGAATTTTGGTGTGAATGTAAATTGGTACAACTAGTGTGGAAACCACTAAGGAGATTCCTCAAAAAACTAAAGAAACTGCATGTGACCCACCTATTTTCCTTCTAGAGAACCTCCCAAAAGATTTCAAGATACTGTTCAGTGCATAATCTTGTATATAGCAGCATCCTAGCAAAACCACTGAAGTGATATAATGTCAACCAACAGATGAATGGATACAGAAAATGTGATTTTTATACAGAATGGAGTACTACCATGTCAAAGAACAGAAATAAATTTCAGACCTTTTTTGAAAAATAGATACATCTTGAGATCGTGATGTTAAGTGAACTAGGACACACCAGCTTAAGTATCTCATAACTTGTCTTTGAGAAACACACAAGTCTTATTAAATACATTTAGTAATAAAACAAGAAATGGAGAGATCTTTTTTAAATGGGAAAGGGATAAGTACATGGGATGGGCAAGTCGGGACAGGAGTGATAAAAAGAATTTTATGTTCATGTACCTGCCCGTAAGACAAATGTAAGCTTTATGTATTGCAGACATACTAATAAAATTACTTTTCCTGCTAGTCTTGACTTTTGGGATGATCTACAAATTACAGTGTTTCAGGACTGGTGAGTAATGAAGAAACATGATTTTTTACAAATAATTTTAACATGGTTTGCACACAGTATTTCACAATATTTTTCATCACATGTAAAACTACAGAAAAAGGCTTCCACATGACCCACAGGAAAGGGCCCAGTGACTGGCTCCTCCCTCTGTGTGCAAGACCCAGTGATTGGTGGGGAGGTCAATCACTCCTCTGTCAGTAAGACTGGCAACCTGAGGAAAGAAAGGGCCTCCGTGACAATGACTGTCAGAAAGACTAGTGGCTCCTTCCTCCCTTTATCAACAGGACCCAGTGACCAGCCAGAAAGGTCCTGGTGAAGTGACCTTAGTTGAGGGTAGGGACTTCTCCATCTAGTAGGCCCCACGGACCAGCAAGGATGCCAGCTACAGAGTAGGGCACACGTGATGGACAGGTGGAACTCAGAAATTTTAAAACCATAGTAACAGTGCAAGCCAGTAGGTGGTAAGAGGTGAAACTGTAATGCTTGGGTACAAATATATGTAGAATAGGAGCTGTGGGTAGGGCTGAGCCCTCTTTTTGGTTTGGTTTTGGTTTGGTTCCTGAATTGCTGGTAAGATCTCCAGCCACACAAAATAAATCCCATCCCCCAAATCCAGAGACCAAGATCAAACCTATACTCGGCACACATCTACCTGGAAACTTGGCTAGAATACACATTCTAGGAACTGACATGGGCCTATCACAGGGCTGTCAACACAAGTAATTTAACTACTTTCTCTGATTGATTTTGCACTTTATATTCAGCTGGGTTGATGGTTTTTTTGTGGGGAGTTTTGTTTTGTTTGGCAATGTTCTCTCTTGTTTTTGGTTCTGTGTTGTCTTTTGGTGTGTGTGCATGTGGTTTTTATTTCCAGGGTTTTTTTTTTTCTTCCATGATTTAGAGCCATAATGTTTCTTTTCATGTTACTCGCCTGGTCCTCTGCCTCTTTTGTCAACTGTCTTGCTTGATTTTAAGATATTTTCATGTGAGTAAACATTGTCTCTTCTCTTTCTGGTTCACTTGAACACTCATAGGCTTCCTTTTCCAGTCCTTCCCTATTGTGTCTTAAATTACTCAGAACTTGATCAACCTTTGACCTCTTAACCTTGTTTCTATTATATTTAACCTCATTTATCTCCATTATACTCCCTATTCCTCTTAAACCATACCCCTATGCACACACACACAAAATGGTAAAATCACTCTACTAAATGAAAAACTGCACAGAAGTTCCTGGTATAAATTGGATTCTACTGTATAAGTTTAGAACTCCTGTGGTGAAATGTATTAGGCTATTAGTTACCATAGTTCGTCCATGCTGTGCTTGAGCCTATTACTGCTAACTGTAACTACTTTAACGATATCACACCTGTTACCGCTGAGTTTTTGTCCCTTGTCTGACAATACCACAATTGTAAGGGATCATAACCATCTCCTTAGTCCTGTACTAAAAGAATGAGCCCTGATTCAAATAAATAACAATTTCACATTATTAATATATTGGGATGATAGGGCCTATGTACTAGAATACCAAGAACCACCTACATGTAAGACTTCTTAAATGAATAATTCTTAGGGTGGCCTTGATACCAGGAATAAAACTAACATAAGAAATCTGCAAGCATCAACAAAAAAATCAAAATGCCAAACCCACCCAGAACAAGTTCAGAGCATAATTACAGGATATCAGAAGCCAACCATGAAAACTGAAGTGATAGCAGCATAAATGAAAAACAAATGGGAGAGGCCATAGGAAAACATTTCTAGTGTACAAAAAGAAATGATAACTAAAATACTAAGAAAGACATGAAAAACTAGAGCTTAGGAAAATGATGGAAAACATGAATACCCAACATACAAAAAAAAATGGAATTTCTATGAAACATACAAATAAATCCAGGAGAGCAAAAATTCCATTGAAACTACATGCAACACATTAAACAAAAGCAAGGATCAAATATCAAATCTAGAAGACATAATTGTGACTAGAAAGCAGAAAAGGAAATTTTTAAAATAGGCCACAAAAAAAAAAATCCAATAGCTACAAGAAGAGGCAAAGAAGAACAACAAAGTTTGTAGCCAGTGAGAAAGCTGAAGAAAGCACAGAAGACATAACCTCTTCCAAAACATGGATAAACAATTGGACATACAAACAAATGGAAGCATTATAGGACTCCTAATAGCCATAACCAAAATAAATCTACATTAGGCATATAATAATCAAGATTTCAGAAATTTAGAATAAAAACATGTTAAAAGCAGCTAGAGAAAAAGTAATAAACTATAAAGGAAGGGTTATCAGAATCATAGCAGACTTCTCAACACAAACCCTCCAATCATGGAGAGCCCAGAATGAGGTATTTCAAGCCCTAAAGGAATATAATTTTCAACCCAGATTGATTTTACCCTGCAAAACTCTTTCAACATCAAAGGAGAAGTAAACATTTGATGAGAAGGAACAATTGGAAGAAATTTATGACCACAAAATCAGCCCTACAGAATGCTATGAAGGATATATTAGAAAAATAAGACCACAAACAAAAGAACAACAGAAAAAAGCCGCCAGGCAGGGCAAACAGGAGAAAGATAGAACCAACAACAGAAAAATAACATGAAAAAGATATGCTAATATGTAAGAGTTAGAAGCATCAATGTAAATGGTATCAACTCACCAGTCAAAAGATGCAAACTGGCAGAATGGATCAAGAAACAATATTCAACAATCTAGTGCATTCATTTAACACATGTAACCCAAAAAATTCATAGACTAAAACTCAACAGAAAACAATTCTCCATGCCACAGGAACCCAGATAAAAGCAGGGATAGAAACTCTATTTGCAGATGATGTAAACTTTGAGTGAAAACTGATCAACAGAGAAAAAGAAGGTCACTACATACTTGTTAAGGTAAAATTCCAAGAAATGATAAAAATTATAAATATATATGCACCAAACGTATGTAAAACAGATATTAACAGACATAAAACCAAGTAAGCATTAACACAATCGTATTGGGAAAACTTAATACCCAACTCACAAATATATCAACATGATAAAATTCAACCAAAAAAATCAGAATTAAATCAAGCCTGTAAACAAAAGAGCTTTGTAGATGTCAACAGATTTTTCCACCCCCAAAACATCAGAATATACATTTTGCTCAGCTGCACACATGACATTCTCCAAAATAAGTCACATATTACCCCCCCAAAAAAGTAAATACAGAGTAATTGAAGTCATCCTATGCATGCTGATCATCCCAAATCAGCATACTGTAGGGCTGGTATCATGGTCATGGGGTGCAGAGTAATCAAAATCATCCTATGATCTTATCTGATCATAGCACAATGAAACTAGAAATGACAAAAGACATCACAAAAACTGCATAAACACATGGAAATTACACAAACTCCCTCTAAACAACCAGTGAGTCACAGAGAAATTTAAAGATGAAGCTAACAGTATATGTAACTAAATGATAATGCCAGTACAACATACTAAAACTTATGGAATGCAATGACGGCAGTCCTAGGAGGAAAATTTATAGCCATGAACTCTCACACCAGGAAAACAGAACAAACTCAATTAAACAACCTAGTTTTGAACCTCAAAGTTCTAGAAAAAAAGAAGAACAAATCAAACCGAAAGTTCATAGCCCACCTCATCAAAAAGAGAAAACAAACCCCCACATATTCAAGCAATTAAGAAGGAACAGTGGGAAAACACATGGATCATTCAGAAAACTAGAAAATTATTAATACTATGAAAACCTATTATTTAAGTAAGATGGAAAATGCATGAGAAACGCATCAATACCTAGACACAATTGAATTAAACTAAAGAATATATATATTCCAAATAATTATCACCCAATGGAATTGAAAATAGTTTAAAACTTTAAAAAGCCAAGGTTTACAGTTTTAGAGAACTAATGCCACTAATGCTGAAACACTTTAAGGAACTTGAAAGGGAAGTAATACTTCCAGAATCATTCCTGGAATCAAGTGTTACCCTGTTTACAAAACAAGAGAAAGACCTAAACAATATATATATATATATATATATATATATATATATATATAATGAGCACAGATGCAAAAATCAATAGGGTCCTGGCAAACAGAATATAGCAAATCATGAAGATGATTATATACCATGACCACACAGGATTCACCCCAGGGATGTAAGGGCAGATCAATATATGCAAATCAATAACACCGTATTAACAGACCCAATGGATGTTCCAGGTGTTGCCACAAGGTTATCTGCATAGCCTAACTTTGTGTTATGGCCTGAAGGCCCAGGCCAGCTGGAACAAACCTCACTGTATGTCACTGTTTCATTATATTGATGATATTACATTGCCTTACAGATTGCCTTACAGATCTGGAAGCTGCTGTACATAACCTGAAGGAAGCTTTGCTGGCAGGCAGGGTGGGACATGAATGCAGACTAATTCAAGGGATCTGGCTTCTTGTCAAATTCTTGGATGTTATCTGGCTAGGTAAGATGAAAGTCATTCTCAATGCTGTTTTGTTTTTGTTTTTGTGTTTTGTTTTTGTTGTTGTTGTTGTTGTTTTGTCTTTTTGAGACAGGGTCTCTCTATGCAGTTCAGGCTGGCCTTGAGCTCACTTTGTAGCCCAGGCTGGTCTCAAACTTGCAACAATCCTCCTGTCTCAGCCTCCCGAGTGCTGGGATTACAGGAGTGAGCCACCAAGCCCAGCTTCAATGCTGTTATTGATGTGATCCAAGCATACCCTAGATCAATGACAGTAGGCCAATTAAAGGTGTACATGGGTTTGCTAGGGTTCCGGCAGACATTCATAGCACACCTAGCTAGTGCACCACACATTTTATACCACATGATCCCAAAGGGTGCCATTTAGGAAAAAACATCAAAAGGAAATGAAGATCAAAATAAAAGACATTAAAGCAGACACAGATTTTTTTTTTAAATGGAGACATATGGAACAACAATGGAAACTAAGAATACCCAGCATTCCCTTTCCAAAAGAAGTGGAATCTATGAAACATATCCAAACAGAAATCCAGGAGATGAAAAGCTCCACTGAAACTGTACACAACAGATTCAATGAAGGTGAGGATAGAATATCAGATGTAGAAGACAAGATGGTGACTACTGACCATGAAAAGAATGAAACATTAAAAATAGCAAGACAGGCAAGCCATGCGGGGCCCAGGAAGAGAGAAGTCAGTGCCTCCCGAGAATTGGCCATGCTGGGACTGGGAGGAACCCACCAAGAAGCCAACTAGCCAGTGTTTTTGGTAGGCCACCCAGGCCATGTGGGGCCCAGGAAGAAGTCAGATAGCACCTCCCACGCATCTACTATCACATGGCCTGAGAATCTAGAACTCCCCTCTCTCCTAAAGGAACCAGACAGCATCTAAGGTATCAAAACAATTTAATGCTTCTATTGTTTTATTGACTGCAAGCCTAAGGCTAGTAGTAGGCTGAGCATCTGTTAAGAGGGTAACAATACGCAAATATGGGGGATTTCCTTGTTTTTGAAATCCAATATTGTTCTGTTTTGTTTTGTTCCATTTTATTGTTTCATTATATTCAATGTTCTGATTGGTTTCACTGTTTTGATTTTGTGTCTGATGGCATGACAGCAATGTTGAAGATAACAAGAGGCATTACGGTAGCCATTGTTGATTTCCTACTATCCTGTTTTGAAATCTTGTTATCACTCACTGTTTTGATTGGCACTCAGTTTATTTTGTTTGGTTTTACTCTCTTTGGAATATACTTTCATTCTTTTGATTGGTTTTATTCTGTCTAGCTTGTTTGATTTTTCACTATGTCTGATAGTATAGACCTATTTTGAAAACAAGAGACATTATGGTAGCCATTGTTGATTTCCTATTATTCTGAGGTTCTGTATTGCTTTCATTGTTCTGTTGTGATTATTCTGTTTTGATTATTCTGTTTTGATTTTATTCTCTTTAAAAACAAAATTTCTGGCAAAAAAGAATTCCATTCTTGCTGGGAGGACTAGGAAACCAACTCTAAAGCCACAGAGATTGGACAGGTGCCTAGGCAGGCACATGAACCACTGAAGTTGGGACACATAAGGCGAAAAATTTGAATATAGGCTTTTGAAAAGATGTAATATCCAATCTTTCTGACACCATTAATGGCTTTGCAGTTGTGTCTTGTTTTGTTCTCCTCTTTTATTCACACATCTTAGATATAAATAACATTCACCAGGGTGGTGGCACACACCTGTGATCCCAGCACTGGGTAGGCTGAGGAACGAGGATCCCTGCAGTTGGAGGCCAGCCTGAGCTACACACTGAGTCCAGGCCAGCCTGAACTACATAGCAAGATCTTGTTTTAGACAGACAGACATGGATGGACAGAAGCTTGGGCAGGCAGACACACAGGCTATAGTAGTGTTCATCACAAGGAATTTGTATCTGTACATATCTTGATTTTTTTCCCATTCCCCCCACCCCAGCCCCTTTTCCCCTCCTTATTTAGAAAAGGTGTTTTCATCTATTCTCTTTTTTCCTGTCAGCGTTGGGGTGGGATGGGTTGCGCTGGGGTTGTGCAGAGGCTGGGCTGTAAATGACCCTTAGAACTACAGATGGCAGGAGTTCCTGCTTTTTGTCTACCTGAAAAGGCTGCTGTCAGGAAACGGGCTTCGTAACTATCATACAAACTGCTGGAAAACCTGTAGCCACGGAAGGCACAGCAGGTGGCATCAGCTTTGACGGAATCCACAGTGCAGCTGTCTACCAAGGAGGAAGGTCTCATCACTTCCTTACGTGTTGTCAGCACTGGACACATCCACCTGACACCAGTGCCTGCAGCTTGGCTTCACACCAGATGCAGCCAAAGCAGCAACATTTAATGAGGAATCCAAGGCACTCTGGACAGCCTGGCTTGAGGTCACCCAGGTGTGGGTCAGAGGACTCCGGCATACCCCAAGAACTGTACTTACAAATCTCTATTGTTGGACAGTTTAACAAAAAACACTGCTCCTTCCAAGTTCTCAGATCCCTTTCTTGGTGTCCTCAGTTTGAGGTCCAGCTTAGAGGTTAGAGGTCCTCCATTCCTTCAGCTATTAAACAGATCTGAACTGTACTACAGAAAACATTTTGCTGGCATGAACTGACCACTCCATGTGTGCCACCTCAGAGGTTCCAGTGGCACTAGGCTTGATGGCAGCATTGCAGCCGACACAATGTTGGTGATGGACACATTTCCAAATGGCTGCTCATTCATCAAATGAGTACGCAGCTCGGCAGTGGTAGAGCTTGGGAACAGTTTGTGTGAGCATAAAAAATGCTCAGCACATCCGGTAGGCACCATGACACTGAATTCCTCAGGTGCCCTTCCTGACTCCACCCTACATTAATCCAGGGTTAGGGTTAGGTTTAGAGTTAGGGCTACAGCACTGTCCCTAAATTAGGTTTGTCTTCATGCACTAACTGACCATCTGAATACCACAGCTGTCTCCAGCGCTGGCTATGCTGAGGACATATCTAGAAAACCAAAGAGAACCTAACCGTCACGTACACAGTTCTTTATGCAGGCTTCATGACATTGCTTTCAGTTTCTTGGGAAGATAATAACCAGGGGGAAAGAATGAGCCACAGATGAACACAGTGCCTATCATCTGCCTAACATCACTTTCATGGCATGCACTTCCCACTGCATCCTACATGCAATGATTCGCTCTGAGCCTCTCACAATACATTTATTGCATTTTTTTTATCCCATTGAAATATAGCATGGCAGAGTTTTTGTTGAAAGTTAAGATTTTCAGTGTCTATACGGGTGCACTGCTGAGTGGATAGTTACAGATGTCTCGTAAAACCATGTGGCTGGAGAAAATCAGGATTCTAGAAGACACCTGCATCTTCTAACTGGGAAAAGATGGGCAGTGTCTTGAAAAGAATGCGTGGAACATGTGATCCTGCCATGAAACTGTTTTTTTTACAGTTGGACAAATCCAGTGCCCTAGGGAAGAAGTCCACTATGCCAGACATTGGTGCACTCAGGTTTTTGTAAGAGCAGAGCTGGTTAATGTCTTTTTTTTTTTTTTTTTTTTTTTTTTGAGACAGGGTCTTGCTATGTAGTTCAGACTGGCCTTGGGCTCACTTCATAATGCGGGCTGGTCTCAAACTTGAAACGATCCTCCTGCCTCAGTCTCCTGAGTGGTGGGGTTACAGGAGTGCACTACCATGCCTGGCTGGTTAAGGTCTTTGAGGCAAGAGTAGGAGGGTTAATACATTCAGGATGGGACCAGAATTCATACATCTTACTGCTGGGCGGCTCTGATCTGAATTAAATCACCTGCATCTGTTTGAACTGCCAGGATCCCATCAGGCAGCCTGTACCACTTTCTCAGGGGGATCTTTGATCACAATAAGACGAAGGAAGGTGCTGACCAGATGTTGTCGTCTTGCAGTTCCTTCAGGAAAACTTTAAAGTGGTATAAAAAACTGTAATGCATCTCAGTTGTGGTACAGCAGTTGTAAATGCACATTTGATACACCAGCAATGGGTTACTTGTAAGATTTTCATATTAAAATTAATTACTGATAAACTTTCACAAACATAAATTTAATGAAATAAATGTATTGATTGTATTAATTTTAACTGGCATGCATAGTATTAATATTTATATTCAGGCAATTATTCAAGTAACTCAATACAGTCCATTTATAAATTTGTATCAACTTTGTTAGTTAAAAAGACTGATAAAAATGATTGGACCAATTTGTACTGCTAATGATACCAGGCACCCAGTGTGACAGTCAAGGATGTTCCACCACTGGTTCAAACCGACAAGAGCACATCAATGGGCCCAAATGCTTTTCCTCTTACCCAGACATGACAGTGTTAGAAATGCCCACTTAGGAATTACAAGCAACTAATAAGAACAGCTGTCTCTGTTCAGTATCTTAATGCAAGAGACTGAACAGGACACAATAGGAAAATGCTGTGGGAAAAACTGCAAGCTCATTTGTTCAGACAAAAGCCCTTGAACTGACTTTGTTGCACCTTAAAATGTAAAAAGAGCTGCAAGGGCCAGGGATTTAGCTCAGCGGCACAGCACCTGTCTGCAAGCGTGCAGTCATGAGTTTGATTCCCAGTTCCAAAAAAAGTAAAAAATAAAAAGCACTGCAGTACCCGATCATTATGTTTGGCAAACATATACTAGTAAAAAATAATAAAGAATTGCAATGGTTTAAAATTTTTTCACCTATTTTTCACATGCTTATGTTTGCACCCAAAGGCCCAACATATTTTTCTAAGGATGCAGGCCTCAAAAACATCACTGTTGGCCAAGTGGTGGCACACACCTGTAGACCCAGGACCACAAGAGGCTGAGGCAGGAGGATCACAAGTTCAAGCCCAGCCTGCAGTTTACCAACGAATGGAGACCCAGTCTCAAAAACACAGCAATCTCATAGTTTCAAAATGAACAAAAATGACTGAATTTTTTTTAATATTCTTTGTATTTATCAAGTTTCTCTCCATGATAAATTCTCAGGTATACTCAAAGAGTTGTGTGATGAGTTTTCCACATACCTTACAAAGAATTCAGAGAATTTCCTTCTATGAAGTGTTAGGCAATGAAGTGCAAATGAAACCCTTAGCTTTACAACATTCTTTTTATACATGGTGTCTTTCCCAGGAGTCTGGTTGGTTTGGGGTTTTTCTGTTTTATGTACTCAAAAATCACTTAACTAAGTGAAGGGCTTACCCTACTACACACATCCTTAGATTGTTCTCTGCAGTGAGATTCCCACATACTCCAGTATAACTGGAACAATTGAAGGCCTTCCGACCATATTTGCGTTAAATACATTCACAAAATTTCTCGATAGTGCGACCTTAGATGCACCTTAAGAGAGTGGGAATAAGTAAAGGCTTTATCACACTGTTCACACTCGTAGGGTTTCTCTCCACTGTGAATTCTCTCATGCACATGGAGAGCGCCGGAACAGGTGAAGGTCTTCCCACACTGTCGACACTCATAGGGCTTCTCCCCACTGTGAGTTCTTTCGTGGACTCGGAGAGAATTGGAGTAACTGAAGGCCTTCCCACATTGTTCACATTCGTAAGGTTTCTCTCCACGGTGAGTTCTCTCATGAACATGAAGGTAACAGGAGCTGGCAAAGGCCTTTCCACACTGCTGACACTCGTAGGGTTTCTGTCCACTGTGAGTCCTTTCATGTACACGGAAGGAATTGGAAGAATGGAAGGCCTTCCCACACTGTCGACACTCGTAGGGCTTCTCCCCACTGTGAATTCTTTCATGGACTCGGAGAGAATTAGAGTAATTGAAAGCCTTTCCACACTGTTGGCATTCATAAGGCTTCTCCCCACTGTGTATTTTTTCATGAGCACGTAAACCACTGGAATGAGTGAAAGCCTTTCCACACTGGTGACATTCATAGGGTTTCTCTCCACTGTGAGTTCGCTCATGGAGGCGGAGAGAATGAGAGTAATTAAAAGCCTTTCCACACTGTTCACATTTGTAGGGTTTCTCTCCACTGTGAATGCGTTCATGCATTCGCAGGACATTTGAACGGGTGAAGGTCTTTCCACACTGTTCACATTCATAGGGCTTCTCTCCGCTGTGAGTTCTTTCATGCACTTGAGCTGAATTTAAACTATTGAAGACTCTGTGACACACTTTACACTGATAGAGTTTCTCCCCAGTATGCATTCTCTCGTGATCTTCAAGGGTATTAGAATCCCTGAACGCTTCGCCACGCTGATTACAGGCGTAGGGTTTTTCTGCAATATGAGTTCTTGCATGCACTTCATAGAAGCTTGAAGTTCTGGAAGCCTTCCCACATTCCAGACGTTTATAAAGTCGTTCGCCAGTGTCCATTCTCCCATGCCCCTGCAGACAAACAGAGGAATTCCCACACTCCTGGCATTTATGAAGTTTCTCTCCAGGATGAGTATTTTTATGTAACTGAAAGACACATGGACATCTAAAGTCTTTCCCACATACTGTACACTGACAGGATTTTTCTGTAGTCTGAGTCCTTTCATATCGCAGATTTACGGGGACACTGAACAATTCGCCACACTGTCTCCCTTCATAAGAGCTCTCTGCAGTATGATTCTTTTCGTGAGTTTTATATGATGAGTAATACAGGAAGGGTTTCCCACAGTGTTTACACTGGTAGAATTTCATGCCACTGTGTACATTCATGTGTACCTTAAATGTCTGGCGACCAAAAAATGTTTCTCCACATTCTTTACACTGATAGCTCTTCTCCCTGATGTGACTTCTTTCATGTTTTTGACAGGAACTGAGAAATGTGAAACCTCTGCCACACTGCGTACATTTGTAAGGCTTCTCTGCAGTATGCGTACTCTCGTGGTTCCGAAGACACTGGTGATAAATGAAGGCCTTACCGCACTCCTTACATTCGTATGGCTTATTGCCATATGAATATTTCTGACTCCTGAATGCTCTGCAGATAGGATATGATCTGAAGTGCCTACTAAGGAATTTTGGATACATGGAGACTTTTTCACACAAGCTGCCCTTATGTATTACTCCACAGGTCTGAGTTTCCTTGATAAGAGTCAGATTTGAAACTCTGTTGTTTCTTCTACACTGAAGACTTGCTTTACTTTCACACAGTTGCTTGACTGTACAGCTTCTGTAAAGAACAAATGACATTTTAAAATTTGTACTGATTTTTAATAGGTACCAGAATCTATTTAGCCTGGCATGGTGGCACATGCCTGTAATCCCAACACTCAAGAGGATCACAGGAGGATCACCATGAGTCCAAGGCCAGCCTAGGCTATATAGTGAGTTTAAGGCAGGCTGGACTGCATAGCAAGACCCTGTCTCAAAAAAAAAAAAAAAAAAAAAGAATCACCCGCTCTCTGGAAAAATGCTGGCTTTCTTCCCTGTCTAAACATCCCTCAATGAATGTATAGAATGCCTTGGACAGGTATTTATTTGCCTGTTTCTATGAAAACAGTAATATTTACACATAAGGCTTGACACTGCTTCTTGTTTTTTTCAGTATGAAGGATTGAATACAAGGCATTTGACTTAGCTATACCCCAAGGCCTTTTTACATTTTTTAATTTTAGAAACAGGAGCTAAGTCACTAAATTAACCAGCTGGAATCCTGGCCCTCATATATACTGGACAAACACTACATCACTGAGTTATGTACCAGGCCAAAACCTTCTGCTAATATTTCAAAAAAATACAGAAGTAAATTACCCATCTATAAAGTGTGTGTGTGTGTGTGTGTGTGTATGTGTGCATGTTATTGAATACTGAACCCAGAGTCTTTGAACGAAGCTACATCCTTAGATTTTTTGATTTTTTTTTAAATTCTGAAACAGAGTCCCACAATTTTTTTTTCCTTCTTGAGAGAGTCTTACTATATAGTTCAGGCTGGCCCCCCTGCTGCTGGAAAGGTATGCACCACCATGAATGGCTTGGTCCCACAAATTTTTATTACTGTTTGGGTATCTTCGCAGAATTATTCACGCTGGGATTAAACTTTCAACCCTCTTGCTTACGCCTATCAAGAATCTGGGTTTAGTTATATGTCACAACAGCCAGCTCAGCAATATTCTGGGAGAAGATTTTTGACAAATTAATGAGAAGCTGGGCTGACTGTTTACTTTTCTTGCATTTGAAATGTCATAATAAAGGAAAATGCCTGAGGGCCCACTACCTCATCTTACGAGTACAACTCACCTAAGATTTCTCCGCGAATCCCAGTTATCATCTTCAGTGTTCCAGTCCTTCCATTTTCTCCCTAAAATTCATACCCACAAACAAGCTGTCATGAGTTTGGTATTATAGAAGACATCAGACAATGCAAGTACATGCTGCAGCGTGACTTGGCCTAACTTAGTCACCAAAGGAATACCATCCCCACCTTTAAACTCCCGGGACCCGGTTGGCAAGCACGAAATGCTTGTTCTTTAATTCACTAAATGAAGGGGGCTGGAGGTTTAGCTCAGCGGCATAAGCGTCTGCCTTGCAAGCAGGCAGTCGTGAGTTCGATCCCCGGTACCGATAAAAACCAAAAAGACAAAAAAAAAAAAAAATTTCACTAAATGAAGGAATGAGATCATCCTCACCCACAGTGGCCAGGTTCTGGATGGTCTCCCTCATCACATCGCAGTAGAGTCTCTTCTGGGATGGGTCCAGCAGAGCCCACTCTTCAAAGGTGAACCTCACAGCCACATCTTCAAAGTCCACTGAGTCCTAAGACATCCCACAGAGGGGCACAGGGGAGGCTAAGGCCGACAGCTCTGGGGAGCACTCAGCGCCTAAAGATGTTCCCACAACGCCTCTGAGGTGTCCAAATATTCGCTGCTCCCAGAATACCACATCTCACCTCCCCATAAAACGCAGCAGTCACATACACAGAAAAATCATATCATGTCTAATACTTAATGGGAAAAAAAGCTGAGAGTGAACAAAAGATTTTTGAAGCAGTTTGGAGAAAACAAGATAAGCACCAGAAATACTCAGATGTAGAAAAGAGACTTGAATCATCAGACTACAGAAATAAACAAGGCTTGAAGTTTTAATATGCTGAGGGATCTAGCAGCAAACAGTATGTAAGAATAGATAGATGATTTCAGGCAGAGATGTGAAAATTTTAAGAATCAAAAGGAAATATATAATTCTAATACTCTAGTTGGCTGAAGTAGTAAGATCACAAGTTCCAACTGAACCTGGTGAGGTCTTGTCTCAAAAACACATTTTTTAAAGGATTAGGATCAGAGTGAAGACCCTAAGTTCAGCCAGGCATGGTGATGCACACCAGAGGCTGAGGCAAAAGGATCACTCCGGGTTCAAGGCCAGCCTGGGCTACACGGTGAGACCCTGTCTCAAAAAAAAAAAGAAAAAAAAAAAAAAAAACCCCACAATATCCAAGACTTAGAACAAAATGAAAATAGAACATTCTAATTCTTGGAAGGCAGCAAGAGCAGTGACTACAGAGAAATTTACGCTATTGAACACATACACTCCCAAGGGACAGACATCTATAGCAATAACCACAGCGTCTACCTTAGAAAACAAAAGCAGAGCCAGGTGTGGTGAGGCACCCCTGGAACCCCAGAGATAAGAGGATCACAACTGTAAGCCAGACCTGGGATACCTGGTGAAATCCTGTCTCTGATTTGAAAACTTTAACAACAGCTGAAGATCTGCCTCTGTCCAGAGGCCCTGGGTTAGATTCCAGGAAGAGAGTGAGAAAAGAGGAAAGGGAACATCCAGGAGTGAGGGTGCATACCTGGGACCCCAGCACTCTGCAAGGCTAAGTCAGAAGGATCGAAAGGTCAAAATGACCACTTGGGTAAATCTGAGACTCCCTGTCTCAAAATAAAAAGAGATGGGGAGCGGTCAAGGGAATAGCTTAGTGGCACAAGTACCTGCCTGGCAAGCACAAGGTTGTGAGTTCGATCCTGGCACCAAAAAAAAAAAAAAAAAAAGTGAATGCCCTGGGATGTAACCCAGGGTGGCGGGGAACAGGAGCCAGTCAAGTTCCAGAGTAAAGCACAAACAAACACACAGAAGAGAAGGAATCAAAGTGGGCAACAAAAATCAAATGCTAGTCTTGTGAAGAGGCAATAAATGTGTATGATATGAAGCTACCCGGAAGAATTAAAAGTACAGAGGCAGAGGCCGTGGTGTCAGTCTGTTCTCCCACCTTTTGGGAGGTCCAGCAGGGACGATTACTTGATTCCAGGGTTTCAAGGTACAAAACCAGTTTGGGCAACTTAGAGATAGAAAACCTCAAGAGAAAAAAAGGGACAAGATACAAATTACACCAGAAAGGTAGCAGATTCCTTTAATCACAGCACTCTGGGAGGCTGAGGCAGGAGGACTACAAGTTCCAGCCCAGTCTGGACAACTTGGTGACTTAGAGAAGTTCAATCTCAAAATAAAACAAAACAAGCTAGCCACACACGTCAGTGTGAAGGTAGTGAGTACAATCCCTGGTACCAACAAATAGATTAGATTATAGATTAAATTAGATCAGGTAAGATGAGATACACACTACTAGGGGCTGGTTCTAGAGCTCAGTGGAGTAGCTAGCAGCAGCAAAGCCCTCAGGTCTATTCTCAGCACCGTAGAAAGGAGGTTTTAAAGCTCTGGGTACCCTTACACAGGACTTCCTCACACTAAACAAGCAATCTGTCAGAACCTGCAGTGCTTTTGTGTCTGTCCCCTTCTGTGTGTTTGTGTGTGTGTGCAGGACCCGTGACGGATCCCACCGCCTTCTCGCTGAGCTACATCCCTAGCCCTTTTTTATGTTTTACACTGAGACAGGGTCTCCCCAACTCACTAAATTGTCCAGGCTGGGCTCAAACTTGAATTCTTCCTGCCTCGACCTCCCAGCATGCAGAGAATACAGGCATGAGACATCGAGTGAGGGTTTTGTGGGGTTCATTTTGTGGGTTGTCTGTTCTTTTGTTTTGAGACAAGGGCTTGTTATCTATAGTCCAACCTGGCTTCAAACTTGCTCTGACGTCCAGGCTGGGCTTGAACATCCGATCTTCCTGCCTCAGCCTCCCAGAGTTCAGGGAATACAGATGTGCACCAACATGTCTAGGCTTTGAGTGTTTTGTTTTGTTTTTGAGGCACAGCCTGGCTCTCTATGCCCCAGGTTGGCATCAAACTTGCTCTGAAACCCAAAGTGGGCTCAAACATGAGCACTTCCTGCCTCTGCCTCCCAAATGCCAGGCTTACAGTCATGTCCATTTCCAGCTTCCTCATTCTGATATAATGAAATGACAGACTACTCAAGAAACTAGCCAAGCATGGTGGCATATGTCCAATCCCAGCCCTCTGGGAAGCTGAGACAGGAGGACTCTGTGTTCAAGCCCAGCGTAGGCAACACAACAACTCTTCCAATCTGTCTCAAAATAAAAAGGAACTCAGGGGCTGGGGGTGCAGCTCTGTGTGAAGGCACTGGGTCAAATAAATACCCACTCCAAAAAAAAGTGGCAGGGGAGGAAAGCAATTGTGGGAAGTGTATATTTGGGTTTGGTGGCCACACCAGCCCTGGAGTGGACCAGGTTATGTGGCTGGCAAGGAGTGGGCTGAAGTCAGACTGTTCTGTTTTGCAGATTTTCTTTCTAAAATAACAAAGATTCCCACAAGAACTCATTATATACTGCAAACTTGTACTAAGATTAATTTTTTAAATAAAATAAACTTTACTTTAAATTTTTTCTTAAAAAATCAGAAAGAACATCATCATTGTCCTTCAACTACATCTAACACTGGGGGATATTATCACAAACTGGTAGTGTGCTATTCATTAGGGTTTAGGAATCAATTCCTTAAAAATCTCATAATCTTCAAAGATACACGTTTAACTTTGGTAATTTTCATCATACCTTTTTTGTTTTTATTGGGGTTTGTTTATTTGTTTCTTTGAGACAGAGTCTCACTATGCAATTCAGGGTGCTTTTGAACTCACTGCTGTAGACTAGGCTGGTCATGAAATCCCGGCAACCCTCAAGCCTCAGCCTCCCACGTGGTGGGATGACAGGTTTGTACAATCATGCCTGGTTCATGATATCATTACAAAAATTAGAAACTGATGTCAGGTGTGGTGCCCTTGCAGTAATCCCAGCACTCTGGGATGCTGAGGGACAGAAGCCTTACAAATTCCAGGCCAACTGTTTCAAAACATAAAATAAAAAGAGAATTGGGGGTGACGCTCAGTGCAAAGGCCACGGGCGAGGAAGGGACATTCACTGACTGCACAGATCTTGCCTAGGCCAGGAAAGGCCCTGGGTCCAAACCCTGGCACAAAAACAGCGACAAAACCAAAACAAAATGACAAAGTGCACGAGAGATCTAGGACACCACGCTCTCACATCCTAATGTGAGGTCCTATCCTAAAAGAACAAAATTGCTATTTGTTCTAGAAGCTTCCCGTTTTGGGGACTCTAACCTCTTCATTGACTCTTACCTTTCCCCCGCCCCCACAAAAACTGGGAACAATACGCAACGACCAAGGAAAATTTTGCTGCAGGTTGGGAACGGTTCATTCCAGGATCTGAGGGGAAGCTGCAGGCGTCCCCTGAGGTCACGCCCCGCTCCCGTGCTCCACGCAGCCGCGGGGCCAGGGGAGGCCTCCCAGACCGCAGAGGAAGGGACCTGCCGCCGAGCGCCGGGACGCGCTCCACGCCAGGCCGCAGTTCGCGCCTCCTCGGGAGCCCGCGCACCTGACCCCTGCGGCCTGGGCCGCCCCCGCCGCCCCGCAGAAAGGGGCCCGGGCCGCCCGGCCACCGCGCAGGGACCCACAGCACCCGCAGGGGGCCGGGCCGAGCGCGCCCCTGGGGACCTCATTCGGCAGTGGACGCGGAGCCCGGGCCCGTCACGCGGCTCCGCGGCGCCCAGAGCCCGGCTCCCCTCCCCCCAGCCCCGCACTCACCGCTGCCATCGCCCCGCGGCCGTCGGCTCGCAGTCTCCCAGAGGAGGCTCAGTCAGCACCCGGGTGACAGCGCGACAAAGAACACAGCGCCATAACCACTGACACCCTGCCGGCGGAAGGCACAGCAACATCCACAGCGCAGGCGCAGTGCGTCCTCTGCGTCCGTCTCCCGACAGTGCTGATTGGACAGACTCCATAGCCCTGCCCCCTTTGCCTCTGAGTGACAGCAGGGTAGAAGGACACACGGTGAGTTTGAATTTAGCTTCTGCGCAAGGTTTTCTGAGCCAGATCATTTGCCTTTCAGTGAGATTCTCACCTCTAGAGAACACTGTCTCTGTGTGTGTGTGTGTGTGTTTTAACTTGCTGTGGAATTGAGGAACAGACCAGACAGAAGACAAAAGCACCAAAGGAACTTTGGAAGGCAAACAGGGTTATTAGGCTAGCAGGCTGATGGGAATCTCACTTCCAAATCATCAGTCCCGTCTTGAAGTTAGCAGTCACTTATATAGGGGATGTCAAGACTTAGCAGAGTTTTGTACCTTATTATGAGAAGAGGCTGCACTTCCCAGGCCCATCCTTGAATCGTATTGGAAATACAAGTTTTAAAACTTCCTTTACATTTAAAATAGCCTCTACAAACTCCCTATGTAGCCCAGGCTGGCCTCGAACTGGTGGCAGTCTTCTTGCCTCAGCCTCCCAAGTGCTGGAATTACAGGCAAGTGCCACCATGCCCGGCTAATTGTTCTTTCCTTCTGGTTTAATATATTCATATTGTGTAAATGTCCAGCCTGGAGCCCCCAGACTTAAAGAGAAACTGTCCACTTGGTCTGTGACTCAATGGTATTGCTTTGCCTCCTTGCTTGAGTTCCTGGCTCAACCCTGAGCATGCCAAATCTAGAAGTGAGGAGACTGCACTCCCCTTACCTTCTGTACCCCAATGTCACCCTAAGTGTGACTACGGGAGCTTCCTAGAAACACAATACATTTCACGTTTTCTGACTGGCTGATTTCCCTTGCTGCGCTGACCCTTCATGAGGGTATGGAGAGGGTCAGAACGTGCATCTTTTCTTTCCTCTCTCTGGTGGGGGAACCGTGTTCCACGTGTGCTTTATGACTTAGCTACATCACCCACCCTTTCTATTTTTTATTTTAACATGGAGTCTTCCTGAATTACCCAGCCTGCCTCAAACCTCCTGCCTCAACCTCTTGAGTGACTAAGATTACAGATGTGCACCAGCAGGTCTGGCAAAATGCACAGTGCTCCTTTTTAAAACTGAATATTCTGGGCTGGGGGTTTAGCTCAGTGGCTTAAGTACTTGCTTAGCAAATGTGAGGTTGTGAGTTCAATCCCCAGTAACAAAAACAAAAACTGAATATTCTGTGTGTATTGTTTTGATCCATTTAGACCTCGATGAGACCCCCTAGTGTGCTTTTACCTTTTAGTTCTTATGAATAGTGATACCATGAACAGGGGTGGACAGTGCTGGTTTGAGTTATTCCTGTCAGTTCTTTTTTGGGTTACTGGGAAGTGGATTTGATCCTCTGGTTACTTTATTTTTATTTTAAAGTTATTTATTTGCAGTGCAGGAGATCAAATCAAGTACCTCACTGGGAGACAAGTGCTCTACCACTGAGCTCTACTCTAAGTTCCACACATTTAGTATTTTTTGAGATGGGTCAATATGGTGCCCACCAGGTTCAGTTCCTTTTAATAATACTATCTCCCCATCCCCACCCTCCTGCAATGAGGACTGAATCCTGCACCTTCACACTGAGTTACAGACCTTGTCCCCTCCTCCCCCTTTTAGACAGGGTCATGCTACATTGTCAGTGCTGGGCTCAGTTTGGAATCCTCCCACCTCAGCCTCCCAGAGTGCTGATATTAGAGGTGTGCTGGGGTTACACGTGTTCTTTTTAGTTTTTCAGGCACCACCATGGTCTCTTCCCTAGTAGCTGTAGCTTGGTGCATTCCCACCAATACTGCACAAGGATCCAGTTGGTTCTTGATGATTTGCTTTGATTTTAGGAAATGAAAAAATGAATTAAGGTGTGTAATGTACCTGTACCAACTCGCACAGGGAATGCAAAACGTGTTAACAAAGAAGAAAACATGAAAAAATAAAAGGTGAATAATTTTTTAAAATAATTGATTTTTATAACATCCAAAACATCTGTGTTTCTTTGCTGTTTCCCTTTTGGTATCAAATCTAAGAATTTCTTGTCTTCTCCCAAGTCATGAATAGACTCCTTTGTTTCCTCTGAAAGTATTATCATTTAACCTCCCAAAGTTTAGGTCTTTATTCTAGTTTAGTAAATTACAGTTTATGGGTTGGGGTTCAACTTAATTATTTTGGTTTCATTTTCTCAACTAAATCCTTTATTTTGTATCCAGCTTCCCAGCCGTCACAGTAACAATTGATTTAAAAAGTGGTTTCCTCCCTTCTTCTCACTGCATATTGAATATCAGCTGACCATATACTCATCAGTTTATATCTGGAGTTTCAGCTCTTTTCCACTGATCTCTGTGTCTAAATTGTCTCGTGTATTTTACATTATAATTCTGCCACCTTTGGAGACCGAGTGAAATAAAGTGTTTATTGGAAAACTCAGGCTGGGGAGATAGCTGAGCAGCACAGCACCTGCCTGGCAAGTGCAAAGTCCTAAGTTTGATTCCCAGTACCACAAAAAGAAGAAGAAGGACAAGGGGAAGGAGGAGGAGGAAGGGGAGGAGGAGGAGTTAGAGGACGAGGAGGTGGAGGAGTTGGAGACAGAGGAGGAGATAGAGGAAGAGTAGATGGAGGAGGAGGAGGAGAAAACTGGGGTTCTTTCCAGTGACTGCCATCATCATGACATAGAGACCTAAAGTACCATGAGAACTAAAACCAAGAAACTAGATGTGGTGGGGCACATGTGGAAGCCTAGCGTTCAGGAGGCTGAGACAGGAGGATCACTGTAAGTTCAAAGCCAGCCTGGGCTACAGAGTGAGTTCAAATCCAGCTGGAATTGTACAGTGAGACCCTGTCTCAAAAAAAGAAAAGAAAACAGAGAACAGAGAAACTCCAGGGCCCTAAACCCGTTGTTCAACAAGAGTATAATTTGCAGGTGGGCATGGTGGCACATCCCCCTAATATCAGAGAGCAAGGGGTTGAGGCAGGAGGATTTCCGTGACTGCAGGCCATGCTGAAACACACAGTGAGCACAAGGCCAGCACAAACTGCATGCTAATACCATGCCTCAAAAAGAGAGCACAATTTGTGCTGTTTTCTGAAGCAGACAGGAACTTAAGAATGGTTTTTCCTACAAATAGTGATCCTTCAAGCTGAGGTCAGTGGCAGTTACTTAGTGTGACACCTTGTGTTCAATGCTCAGCATCACCAAAAACAGGCAGACAACAGCAATTCTTTACTAGGGCTTACAAATCCTTCGCTTAGGCAGGCTGGTCATTTAGGAAGTATCTATCAACATCGGCCAAATTCCCTTTAAGGTCCCTTAGCCTTTTATGTACCTAGCCTATGCCATAAGCCCTCAGGACACCCTTAGGTTTCTCCCTATCGCTTTCAGAAAGTTGTACCTGACATCCGCAAACAGGGAATTATTAAATTTTTTTGGTACCAGGGATTGAACTCACAACCTCACACTTTCCAGACAAGCACTTGAGCTGCTGAGCTAAATCCTCGGCACACAGGGAGCTTTTGATGTCTTTTTCATACAAAGGTGGCTGGAAGATGTGAGGAGCGTTGTGTGTTGATGTGTTGGGTACTACAGTTGGAACCCTGGGCCTGGGACAGCTAAGCAAAAAGTGCTTCTGCATTCTGATCTTAGATCCTTTCTAATCGCTGTGACGCAATACCCGACACCCACTACTTAAAGAAGGAAAGGTTTATTTACTCACAGTATGGAAGGTTTCAGCGCAGCATGGCAGAGGGCCAGGGAGAAGGACAGAGAGCACTGGGCATGGTGGCAGGAAGCAGGGAGTGATGTGGGGAGCTGGTAGGCTCACCCACAGATGGTATCACACTTCTGTGTTCCAGTCACCTCCTGAAACCACCACCCATGAGTGCAAGGGTGGGTGAAGAGCGGGCCCGGGAGGACGAGCCTTCAGAGAACCGGCGCACTGTTTGTTAGCCTGAGGACCGCTTTGGGGCCTCTGGCCGTAAGGGGGGGAATCTGTGCCAATGCTTTCCTAAGGAATTTAGTGATCGCCACTCTGGAGCGTGTGCGCCACAGCCCTGGCGCGGAGTTCCACGGAAAACATTTGTGGGAGATCTTGCTCCTGCCCGCGGAGCCCCGGAGTAGTCTGAGGAGGAGACAGATGACCTCCGCAGCAGTGCTGAGCGAATCTGTGGCGGTGGCATTTCATCTCCCCCGTTATTTAACTTTGTTGACCTGTGCTGCTTCTGTGGTAATAAGTTCCCTCCTTACACTCACAGGGAAAGGAAATGATTATTTATGTTCTGCATTGTTGTTAGAAAACTTAGTGATTTCTTTTGCCTTCCTTATTGTGGAGAGAGTATGGGTCAGGAGTTGTAACCTAACCAAAGTGCTGCCATCCTGTTCTGTAAGCATCCTTGCCCAGAGCTTTGTTCCAACTTCTTTTTCCCATAAACTACTCCCTTCCAAGAACAGCAGTGTGTTCCTGGAACTAGCTGACCACAAGTTACACAAGTTAATATCCTGTAGAGTTAAGAAATGTGTCTCCAGGCCAAATCAGGAGACAAAAGACCTTCTTCCCCCTCAGCCCACTCCCTTTGCTTGGCGGTTTTTCCCTTGTAAACCTCCCAGGAACCTAACCTAGTTGCACAGCTCTGCGGTTTCCAACGCGACTGTGCCTCTGGGTACCAGCTTCAATAAAGTGCTTCTTTTTCCTTTTGGATGACATCTTGCCTCGTTTTTGAGGTATATCATTGGGGTGCAACATCAGGAAATATGATACTCGAGGGTGTGGGGAGCAGCAGAGACCCCTCCTGGGCTCAGCCACCTGCTGTGTGAACTTGATCAGGTCACTGTTCTGAGTCTCTTCTTCTTCACCTATGAAAAAGCTGATGGAAATACAAAGCACATGAAGGATGGCTCTTGGACTGGATATTGAAGTCAGGACATCTCTCTACCCACACCAGTGGAGAGAAGAAACCTCTGGCTACACCCCCTTATATCTAGCTGGCTACTTACGTATTTATCAGAATTTTATTAAACACCC